CGAGCACCCCGAGAGTAAAATGGCGAAAAGGAGTGTACTACGTCGCATAAAGGCTCTCCGAGGTAACATCAAAATTTACGATGGAGGACGTTGCAGATGTCATCAAAAACCTAAGCCATCCAAAGCGTTGGGCCCGGACGGAATATCCATAATAATGCATAAGCTGCTGGATAAACCCCGACTTGAGTATTTAACATCAGCCCTCAACGTGTCGTTAATCACTCACATAGTTCCTGTAGCCTGGAAAATAGACAGGTTGGTCCCGCTATTAAAGCCTGGCAAGCATGCCAACAGGAGTGAATCGTACAGGCCCATTTCATCCCATCGCCAGTAGCAAAGACACTTGAAGCGCCAGTACTGCCATCAAATCTCCGACCGTGTTTGAAACGTTATATAATCAACTATATGTGTGGATGCCAGACGTATGTGGAACTCAGAAACAGGAATCTAAACCCCGCAGAATGAAACAGGGAGTTCCCCAAAGATGGGTGATATCTCCGGAACTGTTCAACCTCTAGCTTTCCGATATTCCACAACCACCGGACAGCATAAATATTGTAATGTATGCGGATGATTGTACGATCATGGCGTCGTGTCGCAATATTGATCGTGTCGCAATATTGATGACATTTGTGAGAGGATAAACTTCTACGTAGCTGATGCAGCAAATTTCTTCCATCTGAGGAATATGAAAATATCCGCAACCAAATCAACAGCTACACTGTTCACCACATGGACGGCTGAAATGAAGCTCCCACTGAACATAATTGTCGATGGAGAACTGATTCCGATCACTATCTACCTGAAGATACTGGGTGTAACGTTCGACGACCTTTTCAAGTCGTCCGCGCATGCCACTGCTTTATGCGATAAGCTGAGAAGTAGGAGCAATGTCCTCAAGCCGCTAACCGGTAGCACTTGGGGCACTAACAAAGAAACCTTGTTGATCTCCTACAAAGCAATAGGTCGGTCGGTGGTCAGCTATGCGACGTCTGTGTGGTTCGCGAACATTCAAACCTGTCGGAATGCCGCCCAGAGAACTGCGATAAGGTGCCTCCTTATGACACGAGTGGACATTTGCATAGGAGGAGTCAATGATCTTATCCGTACATTGGTCACAACAGGATGTTGTCGATGCGGTACCTCCTTGAGTGTTATCGCCGGAATTATCCATTCCATCACCTTATGGATAGAATTCCCACACCCAGGGCATGTACGGAGAGAATGTAGGTCTCTCTCTGGAGAGAAAGTTCCAACGATATAAAAGAGGACTCCTAAATCAAGAGGCTTATCGAGCAGAAATGACCAGCATTCACATGGAAGCAGTGACCCAGGCAATGTACCAAAATATCACGTGAATTCAGTTATTGGAATCCACCCACAACCTATACAGCTGCCTAAAATCGTTAACTACCTCAAAGCTGTGGTTTTCATGTTCCACAGTTAGTCGGAGTCTACTGGACGTCTTGCGCGTTGATACCATCAGCTAGGTCTTCTCGCCATTAACTGCCAGACCCAGACTCCTTCTCAAGTTGTTGAAAGGTGGCTGTTACCGCTCTCATTGTTCGACCCATTATGACATCGACATGATGGTCGGCGTAGGCGAGTAACATGTGTTGTTTGGTGTACGGAGTGCCATTTCTGTTCACCTTTGCCTCTCGTATCACCTTTTCCAGCAGGATGTTTAAAAGCTCATATGACAAACTGTCACCTTGTCTGAATCCTCGTTCGGTATTAAAGGGCTGCGAGAGGTCCTTTCCGACTTTAAATGCTGACCTTGTGCCAGTTAAAGTTATAGCCGAATTAATTTTGCAGGAATGCCAAACGCAGATATGGCTTTAAACACCTCTGAACGGGTAGGATTTCCAGGATTTGGCGCAGAGTTAAAATCTGGTCAATGATATACTTGCCAGGTCTGTTCCATTGGATTCAGTCGTTCACACAGCACACTGGATAGCACTTTATATGCGATGGGAAGGAGACTTATTCCTCTACAGTTGGCAAGTATCGTCTTGTCTCTTTTTTTTGTGCACGGGACACAGGATGCTGAGGTTCCAATCATTGCTTTCCTCTAGCCAAATTGTACTAATCAGCTGGTGCATGCTCCTTACCAGCATCTGACCACTAGTCTTGAATAGTTCGGCTGGTAACCCGTCGGCTCCTGCTGCTTTATATGATCATGGCTAGGTGGTATACACTCTATACCATCATCTCTTATTGGTTCTGGGGTACGTCACCGCCACTATTCGATACCAGAAGCTTTTCAAAATTATCCTTCCAGATCCTCAACACCCTGTCTGTATTTGTCACCAGTTTTCCTTCTTCATCTCTACAGGAGGATGTGTTTGCACCAAAACCTTCGGTTGGTGTTTTACTCGTTGGTAAAATTTCCGAACTTCATTCTGACTCCTGTACATCTCGATTTGCTCACGCTCACGTTTTTTGGTACCCAAGTTTTGCTTTTGCTGCAATTTGTAGGGAGTGGGCAATTCTTTGCCATTGTTCTTCTATAACATTATCGGGACAAGAAGAAGTTTCCGTGTTGTGTTAGATCGCACCTTTGCTGCAACATTAGGACGAGTGCGAACCTTGGCTGCTACAAGGTAGTGGTCCGAATCGATATTCGCTCCTCGGATCAATCGAACGTCTAAAATACTGGATACATGCCTTCCGTCTATCTAAACATGATCAATTTGATTTCTCGTTGCTTGATCACAAGAAATCCAGGTGGCCTTATGTATATGGACATGCTTGAATCTGGTGCTGCTAACTACCATGTTTTTGCTGCCGCGAAGTTAATCAACCAATGGAAACTCAAAGTACCAAATTGTAGCCAATTCGGTTAAAAAAGTGCCTAAACTCCCGAAAATAGCGAATAATAACGATGTTCGTTATATAGAGGCTATCATAAAAATGGACCGATTTCGATCATTTCAGGTGTGAAGATTTGCTACCGAATGAAATCTCAAATTAACGAATTACAGCCAATTCTGTTAAAAACGTAGGGGAGACTGGGGCACCTTCGGCATCGGGGCACCTTCGGCAATCGCGTTTTCAATATGAAGCTCTCACCGTACATCACTAGTTTCGATACATAGGTATCGAATATCGAAATAAATAACTGACACAAAGTTTGAAAGTTCTAGCTAATAAGCTTATTTAGATACATAGATTTTTGTATTTTTATAGATGTTTCTGTAATATTTCAATTCCATTTCGTAAGTATTTCGTGTATACAACTTTTAAAAATTTTAAGACAATATTATTAAAAAGTTGTTAACTACGATGTGTATTATTATAAAAATATTTAAAAATATAATGTTTTTACAAATCTGATCGAAAAAAATTAAAAAAACTATAAAAAGTACATTCGGGGTACATTCGGCATTTTAAAGTGGGGCACATTCGGCCATATACAGATTGTGCAATAGTATTTCCTTAAAATGTTTTTGAGTTTGTCTTTAAAACTAATCCTTTAATATGGCCCGAAAATGCATATATAAGATCAAACGTGCTTGTATTGACGAAAATGCGATAGAAAGCCCCTATTTCTGATGATGTGTACGACCTTGAGATGTAAACGTCCGCCGCTAGAAAATAAAGCCCTATAATTCAAACATTGTGTGGCGTATTAAAACCAAATAGAGCCTTTAGAGGATCAGAATTTCAACCAGACTGATAGCGATGACAATTACCCGGCTATGACTATGGTGCCGAATGTGCCCCATCAAATGCCGAAGGTACCCCGGGTTGGGGCACATTCGGCGAATTTGACTTTTTTTACAAAAATGAAAAAATTTTTAACTAATACTATTTTTATATATCTTTTTGGAACTATTTTTGATAATTAAGAGTCAGAGGACAATAATCAGCCATAAAGTTGTTATATATGTTCAATAAGTACTGAGATATAGAGCTCTAAAAAAAAAGTGCCGAAGGTGCCCCAGTCTCCCCTACTAAAAATTAAAAAAAGAATATTTAGAGGTAACCCTTTTCCGGGAGAATAAATGAAGGTGTTGCAAACGGTATGACAAAATTAATATACACTCCACCTCATGGTGGAGGTTAAAAAATGATTCAAGCTTAAAGAAACTACGCCAAGTCCGGACCTGCCACTCATTCAACATTTTGTTTTCATTCAGCCCATGTTGTTGGTGTTTATGAACAAAAAACGAAATGATCTACTCCAAAAGAGCTGAGCCATGGTAAATGTTCAACCTTCTTGAAAGGTCGCTTTTGCGTAGCAAGGAGAACCATAACTTCATACAATGCAAAACAACCTGACATCGGGTGTAGACAATAGCAGGCAGGCAAGGCAAGCTGAGAGATACCCTTTTGTCTTTCCTATTAAAATGGCAAAAAGAAATCAAACACACATGTATATAGCCACTTCCAAGTAAAAGGAGATATAAAAAGGGAGAGGGTACCAGCAAAAACAACAATAATAATAATAACCCATCCGTCATAGCTATAATGCCGCTCAAGAGGTAGTTTGCCTTTATATTAAAAAAAAGAAACCCATGCAGCAAGTAGGCAATAATAAAAAAAAACTACAATCACAAACACTCACACGCACACACAGAGGAACAAGCAGCAAAATCAGAAAACCAGCTCTGTATTTATTTTTTTCTAATTCTAAACGGAGCTGATTTTAAAATGTGTGTTTATGCTGTTGCTGCTGCTGGTGGTGTTGTTATTACTGGATGGTTGTCTTGTCTTGTCTTTATTAAATTACCGGAAATTGTTTTGGTATAAAAAAAAAACAGACAACAACTTCACCACGCACCACAAATGTAGGGAGTTGTTGTTCTGGCAACTGTCATGTGCCCAGAAGTCCAACAACAACAGCAACAACAACTAAATGTTTCAAGTGTGCCCAACTTAGATTTCATCATTCATTCATTTTTTTCTATGTAACTAAAAGTTGTTGGGGATAAACAATTTATTTAGAAATTAAATCGAAAAACATAACGAGAACAACAACAACAACTACAACTTACCTTTCAAATTCACAGGGAAATGCAAAGGCGGGTATATCGTGTATTGTCTTTTCATCACGAAAACTCTCGGGAAAACTTTCTGTAATAACGCCCACTGGTGCACCGCTATAGCTACTACCACCACCATTGTGTCTTATGTTTGTTGTTGTTGTCTGTTCAATGCCATCATGAGTTCGTGTTACCTCACACCAATATTCGAATAATTTTTTAACATCAGTTCTGTAAAGAAAAAGGGGAAAAGGTTAAGAATTGTTTGATGAAATGTATTTTTTTTTTTTGTTTTTAACTGGTAAGTGGGTGGCATAAATGATTCCCAGATGTGTGATAATCAGGCGAGGAATTTCAAGTGTTCCGAAAACCCTATAATCATCATATGGTCGCTGTGTTGTAATGACCATGTGTTGCGCATCATCATAGTCACTCGTGACTGACTGACCGAACGGCCACTCCTTGATGTTTGGAATAAAAGGATATTTATTTTACAATAAATTGTTAAACAAACAGTAACACCATGAGGACAAATGGTTGTAAGGGGTAAAACGCCTTATCGAAAAGAAATGTGGCATGCCATGGGAGGGAGTTATTTCTTTTGCAAAATGTCATCCTTTTGCCAGATGATATTTTTATGTTAAACTTACCTCATCAAATTCCTTAAAAGAGATTTAAGACTTGTCTTTAAAAATTGGAACTAAAAGTCTTCAAAAATCCATACAATATTTTAAAAACCAGTAAAAAAAGTAGTAAAATCGGACGGGGCCGACTATATCATATCCTTCAGCACTTTGGGTATATTCAAAAAATGCATCCTAACATACGTCGCCTTTTTGAGGGACCATTAACATGAAATTGCTTGAATTATAATGTGATTTTTATCTAAATGTGAGCGGAGTTAGATCGATTCATAAACATGTCATACTGTAACCTATACTACATTTTATTTGGACAGAGATACAGTCGTTTGTTATTTGAAACTATTTCAGCAAAATTGTGCAATATTTAGTGGCAATCGGCGTAACTTTGGGTCTTTGGTGCACCATTTACTTAAAACGGACGAAACTGTATATTAGAGTCATATCTAAATCTGTACCGAATCCAAAAAAACTTGACGTTAGCCTATATCAACGCCCGTCAGGGTCCCGACTGTATTAGAACGGAGCCTATGCCATGGTTGACCTCAATCCCTCACATACAGCACATTCTACGGAGTCAAATTTTAATAACCACTGTTGGCTGTCGAAGCGGCTACTGGTATTGATGAGACTCCCGTATTAGAACGGAGCCTTGTTGATACCTGGGCGCCTCCTTGGCATGGTAAGAGGCTATGCCATGGTTGACCTCAATCCCTTACATACAGCACATTCTATGGAGTCAAATTTTAATAACCACAGTTGGCTGTCGAAGCGGCTATTGGTATTGATGAGACTCCCGTCGTTAAGATGGATGATTCACCAGTACCAGCAACTGCTAATCAGGTCGATGCCAAGGAGATAGATGCCAAGAGAACGTACCGGAAAGCAGTTAACTACTGTATCCGATTCATCGGACGGGACAGCGACTCCATCACGGACGACTCAATCAAGAGGAACCTAAAATTCATCCGGAAGTTCTCCAGGAATTATCCGAATTATATTGCGAGGGACTTCTTGATTGAAAAGATCCTCCGACCGAGTACGAAGACCACCACGTTAGTCCCTTCAAAGAAAGAGAAGAATCACTTTGTGAGTCGATTTATGATGTACGTCTGTCCGTCCATGTATTTTTGTTAACAAAATTTGTATTTGGATGATATTTGGCACAAGTCACCCAAGGACGAACCCTATTGAAAATGGGAAAAATAGGTTCAGATTTAGATATAGCTCCCATATATATTTTCGTCCGATATAAGGTAAATGGTGTACCAAAGTCCCTATATATATCTTTCGATTTGCACGATATTTGGCATATAGTACTGAATTAGGTCCAGAATGATGTGTGCCAAGTTTCGAGAAAATCGGTTCAGATTTACATATAGCTTCCATATATAGATTCGTCCAATTTAAGGTAAATGGCGCACCAAAGTCCCTAAATATCTTTCGATTTGCACGAAATTTGACACAGAGTACTGAATTAGGTCCAGAATGATGTGTGCTAAGTTTCGAGAAAATCGGGTCAGATTTACATACATACATATTCTACATATGTATCCCCAGTGGTGAAGGGTATCATATAGTCGGCCCAGTCCGACTTTACTACTTTCCTTGCTGGTTTTATCTGTTGACAATATTTTATTTTTTTAGTCGATTTTGCACCGGTCGGCAAAAGTCGATATTAGATCGAAAAGTCTAAAAATTGACTTCTTGGTCAGATGAAAAAATCGACTTTTATTGCTGAAGTTTATATAGAGACCAACATTTCCCATATGGATACTTGCATTTCCGCTGCTTTTAATTTTTAGCTATTGAATTCCTGATAACAACAATATAATCATCTTATCGAAGATATGCGTCTCCAAAGTACGGTAAGTACCTTAGATTTTTTTTATTATATCCGTGTTAACAAATTCAAAAAAGATTCGAATCCGTCAGGGACCCTAAACTAAACTTGTTCGCGATATTTGAATGAGCATATTTTTGATTTTTTATTTATTTATTTTTGTGGCAAGTGAACAGGTTCGGAAATAAATTCAGTCGTTGATTTGCAGATGCAGGTATTAGTCATCCTTAGAAAGAGTTGCATGAATTCCTCTTCCTGTGAAAAAGCTGCCGGTATTCTTTTTCCTATAGCAGAGCTGGAAGTCTTATTCCTAGAAGAGAACTGTAGGTCTTCTTCTTCCTCGAGGAGAACTGTAGGTATTCTTCTTTCAGTGACAGAGCTGCAGGTATTCTTCTTCCTGTGAAAGAGCTGCAGGTATTCCTCTTCCGGTGGAAGAGCTGCAGGAGTCTTCTTCTTGTGGAAGATCTGCACCTATTCTTCTTCCTATAGGAGAGCTGGAGGTCTTCTTCCCAGTGACGGGTCGCCGGCCATCGACTCCTGAATGTGGCAGATTTTCTGAGAGTTTTTTTTTTTTTTTTGAAATCAATTCGACAATGATACCCCCCATGTAGGGGGTCACTGGCCATCGACTCCCGTATGTGACAGATTTTCTCCGAGTTTGGAGATTTTTGAAACCAATTCAATTCCTTGACCATTAGAGAAGTACTTGATGCCCAGACATTTACCATACATGGACATTGATCTTCGATTTTTGCATTCATTTGCCGATACATTAAGCAACGCACTTCAAAAGTACCAAGCCAATTTCATAGACATTCTTCAATTGGCCAACCAGTCCTACCAAATTGCCCATAGCAGCAAATTGGCAAACATGATTCATCACAATTACATTTTTTCCGCGCAAGGAGTAGATGCAGCAATGAATTACATTTGCCTCGAAAAGGAAATGAAGAAGAAGAACAAGAAAAAAGTAAATCGTTACAGTCAAGAAAATACCCATCAGAAATGAGTGAGTGTGAGTCATCACACAAGGCAAACATACGGACAGACAGACAGAAAAGTCAAGTAGCCGCAATTATCAGCTTTAGACAAAGTTAAGTCATACAATTAATTGATTGGCCAAATAGTGTATAGTCACCAGCCAGGGCTCTTCACCCCCTCTCGCTTTTTGTTGATTTTACACACAATAGATTCTCATCACACCTATGGCATTGCATTGTTGGTGTTTTTGTTGTTGTTGTGACCCTTGAGGTAAACAACCAGCACAACCCTGACATAATCACAATGGAAAAACTCTCGCGCGCACACACACTCACTCACAGAGATACTCCCATAAAAAGAGTTTGGAAGTAAATCTTAAGAAAAACCACCTGAAGCTAAAAGTGAGGGAATGAGGAGAGGGGAGAAGTGGGGAGAACCAATTCAAAACACAAACTGTCAATCACTGAAGCATAACGCCCACATTTTATTCACAGGCCAAAATAGAAACGACAAAAACACACAAACAACCACAATAACATTGATGACGTTTTGCATTTTTCTCCATGAAAACAACACAAAAAAAAGGAGGAAAATTCAAACAAAAGAGGGGGACACATGAAAGATAGTAACACAATAACTAAAAAGGGGGCTTCAAAAGCAACTTGAAATCATCGTTAACTCACTTGTTTCGAGAACTCATGTTTCAGCTGGTTAGTAGTAGCTGGCTGATAAGCTGCTGCTGCGGCTGTAGCTGCTACTCGGGGACAAAAGAAGGATGTTACAACGAATGAACGAAAACAACAACGACGACAGAAATGACGGCGCTGTTTATTTCACAATTTTTGTTGTTCTCTGGGCAAACATTTAAAACACTCTATATTTTATATTTTTTGTTTGTTTTATTTCCACTTATTCTTCTTCTTTTTCTTTGTGCAGACACAACAACAATTGCTCACTTCACTTTTTACACAGACTTTTTTGTTTGCAAATTTGCAAATATTTTTGTATTTATTTATTTTCTTCTTTCTTCAATTTTGTTATCTGTAAAATATCTGAGGCCGTATTATAATGCTGCTGTTGTTGTTACTACTACTGCTGCTGCCTTGTATGTATTTCAGATAAGAGCAGCTTTTATGGAATTAAAATTTTTTCTACACTTTTTTTCTGCTTTATTTTGGATGATTTTCTTCTATCTTTTTTCATTTATTTGCCTATCATCATTTGTTGTTGTTGTTGGCTGGCAGACACACTTGGGGCCCCCAAACAATTTACTCATTCCCGACACACAACACACTTTGATTTTGCAAAATATTACAAATACAAGATAGAAATTTTCCAATACTTTTGCTACTCTTTGCACAATGACCGACCAATTAAATACAACCGACGATTTTGATTACACTTTGAAATTCTCTTTTTTGTTGTCGCTTTGTTTTCACTAGTAATTCCGACGATTTTTTTCTTCTGTTTATCAAGGCTGGGTTGGAGTTTTTTTGTTGTTTTGTAATTGTTGTATTAATTTGGAAAGAGAAACACAAAAAAAAACTAAAATTTCAACTGGAAATCATTTGTCAGCAGCCCCAACCATTCACTCACTACATTTCAACTGTGAATCCGCTGACAGAGTGTATGACAGACTTTGGAGCCGTGGCAGACGGCGGCGTAAATCAAATGACGCCGTTGGTTCTTTACGACGACGTCGTTGCCATTGTTTGTGTTATCAATTTACAGCGGATAACGCAATATATCCGTCAGTAGACATTTGGGACAAATATGTTTGAAAATCGACCAAAAACTTAAAAAAAAAAAAACAAACACATAAAGTTTGAACATTAGCATTATTTCGACGGATCAATAAAAACTTGAAATGTGGAATGCGAATTGGTGATGAGATGCAGAGTCTTTTCAAAGAGATGGTTTTGAAAGCGCGTACGAAAAGTACTATATGGTACTATAATCGGTACAAATTTAATCTATCTATACTAATAAAAGAGTAAAGTCATCGATTGACTGATTTAACGATTCATCAACGCCCAGACTAAACGGCTGAGGCTAGAATCTTGATATTTTGGGTGAGGGTCACTCTTAATCCAAAGGCGACAAATAAGGCTGCGTTTTTGGAAATTTGTACTAGAACGGTACGAAAAGTTCTAAAAAGAACTAAATATGTTATCATTTGTATTTGGCGAACCGGTGGAGGTAGAACTCTGAAATTTTGTTTGGTGGTCGTTGATTGAGTGTAGTATAGATGTACTAAAGGATTTTTGGAAATTCGAACTATAACTATCCGAAAAGTACGAAAGTGTACTAAATTTAGTACAATTCTGTAGCATTTGAACGGATAGCGATAAAAATTTGGAGTGTGTATTATGATTTGGAAGTAGGGTCCATTTAAGGATATGGTTTTGTAAGCGTATACTCATGTGTACGAAAAGTACTATATGGTACTATATTTGGTACAAATTTAATTTGGAGATACAAATCGAGCTGGAATTCTGGAATTTGAAATTAAAACTACCATTGGAGTGTAGGATTGGGATATTAACGTAGTTTTGGAAATTTGTTACTTGTGTGTACGAAAAGTATTAAATCGTACTATAATCGGTACAGTTTGGATTTGGGTGAACCAACAATGAAATTTGAAGTTAGGATCACTGTAGGGGTGTGGGATTGGGGTCAGGATTCAGTTTAAGATAATAATACTTATGGGTACTAAATGGTACTAAATTTGGTACAATTTGAATTTTAGGTGAACCGATAAAGCTAGAATCATGAAATTTGGAGTCAGGTTTACTGTTGAGGTGTAAGATTGAGATATGTAGGAAGATTTAGTAAATAGTACTAAAGTGTACTAAATTTAGTACAATTTGAATTGTGAGTCAACCGATAGAGTTGGAATCCTGAAACTTGGATTTGGGATCACTGTGGGGGTGTAGGGTTGGGGTATGTAGGAAGCTTTAGAATTTTTTACTAAATGTTTTAGAATTTTGTACTAAGTGTACTAAATTTGGTACAATTTAAATTGTGGGTGAAGCGATAGAGTTGGAATCCTGAAATTTTGATTTATGATCACTGTGGAGGTGTAGGAAGGTTTGGAAATGGGTACAACTATGTACTAAATTTAGTACGATTTGATTTGTGGGTGAAGCGAAAGAGTTGGAATCTTGAAATTTTGATTTAGGAACACTGTGGAGGTGTAGGATTGGGGTATGTAGGAAGTATTAAAAATTCGTACAAATGTGTACTAAGTTTTGTACAATTTAATCTTTTGTTGAACCAATACAGCTGGAATCCTGAAATTTGGAGTAAGGGTTACAGTATGGGGTGTAGGACTGCGATATGTAGAAAATTTTGGAAATTTGTACTAATGTGTTCAAAATAGTACCAAATGTGGATTTGAGTAGACTGATAGAGCTAGAATCTTGAAATTTGAAGTTAGGATCACTGTCGGGGTGTTCGAATGGGGTATGTAGGAAGTTTGGGAAATGTCTACTAATGTGTACTAAATGGCACTAGATTTGGCACAGTTTGGATTAAAAGATTTTCATTGGATTGCATGATGCAGGTAGTAATGGAAATTTGTACCTATGTGTATTAAATGGCACTAAATTTGAAACAAATTGGATTTAGGTGAACCGATAGAATCCTGAAATTTGGAATTAAGATAGGGGTATGTGGAAATTGCTGGAAATTCGTATTTATGATTGTTAATGTAGGTAGTTATGGCAATTTACATTAATATTTGCTTACTGGTACTTAATTTGGATTTGGGTGAAGCAATATTTGAAATTTGGAAATTTTACAGGAGTACAAAGGGAAAAAATACACCAAATTTTGTATAGAGCTAGATTTCTTTTGCGGTCAGAATTTGTGTGTAGGGTTGAGTCCTATAAGATAACATTGGTACTAAACGGTTCTAAAAGTGTTAATATTGGTTGGTATTGGGTTTTAAATACTTCCCACATTCGCTAACGAAGTACCGGGTATATGCTAGTATCAAATAAATGCCAATTTGTTTGAAAAACGTACTCAGTTCCCAAAAAATAGCGAATGTTTGTATTGAAACCAATAAGATTGATATTGAAATATTGAGGGATACCCTGATTACCTCGTTTCGGATAATTTTTGGTAAGTCCTGATTTAGATTAAGCATGTTCATTTGCGGCAATTCTACTTCATGCGTCTGCACAAGACAATTCGGTTTAAAAACATTTGCCTTTTTTACATTTTGTGAATGTTTTTTTTTTTTATTTTTGAAAAAAGAAACAAAACAACATTAAAGGAATAATAGAAATATGAAAAGTGCATACAGAAATACCCTCATCGAAAATATTCTGGATTTGTATCGATATTTCAAATTATTGATGCTACAATACGAAATACACAAAAAAAAAATTGCCAGAAAATTGCCCGTATGAGAACTTTTTTTATATTTCTATTTCCCTTGTGTCTCTCTTCTACAAGTAAAGACTTGCCCAAGTAAACTTGCCTAATATTAATTGGGACTAAGTAGATTTGGTACACATCTAGAACATAAACGCGTATTTACATATAATGTTTAATAATGATTAAGGAGTTTATTTTCTTAATCAGGCTGAATTTGCCATGATTTATCATACAAATTTAAATCATTGTGCGGCAGGGTTTATTTTAATCAAAAACATAATACTAATGAGAGAGAGGAAAATTCGTTATCGTTGTAGTTTCTTACAGTACGGGAACAGACCAAATGTAGTATTTTTATTCTACTCAATTAAAAAGCAACAAAGTGTAAAATTGTACTGTGTCTAAACATAATATAATGGTTACACTAAATTCGCCATTACTGTAATAACCGAATTTGACAGCTGTTAAATTACACTGTCAATCTCCGCTTTTGTTTTGCTCCAGCAATTCGTTTCGATTGTGGTTGATTTTTGATTTTGTGTTTTTGCCTTCCTCTTCTTCTTTTCTGTCGAAAATTTTTCTCGTGTTGTTGTACGGAGCAGAGAAATTTGTTTTGTTCAAAAGAACAAAATTATACAAAAAAGTAAACAAATCTAAGCAAATATAACTGACATTTGTGGAGAATTTGGCGCGCTATAAAACAATAAAATAAAGAAATATTTATAAATAAAACAATTGTAAAGAAATATCGGTAAAAGCAAGTGAAAAAAGTGCAACAGCAAGTTACTGATTGACTGACGACTGACAACAAACACTCACACACAAACAGGGTCACACACGCAAAAGTCGTGTACTTGCAATTAATACAATTTGTTGTTGTTGCTGCCGTTTGGTCGTGTTGTTGTTGTTTAATTTAAACAAAGCAGATTAATTGGATTGATAAAAAAAAGAAGAAATATTTGTGGTGCTGCTGCTCTTACATCTACAATGGATGACATAAAATTAGCCAAGGTAAGTCTTTTGGGAAGCAGGGTCTGAGTGAAAATTGTTCCGACCCCATGAAAGTATTAAATATTCCATATGGTTTGTTTTGTTGTTGTTGTTTGTTAGCCTGAGTCATTTTGGTTTTAATAAACAACATATCACAAAATCTCTCTTCAATTCCAATTGGATTTTTTTCCTATGAAATACCAATTGGTTTCGTTTTTTTGTGTGTTTCTGTACAAGGACAACCTTAAGTTTATTATGGATTCATGTCGCCGCCATGTCTGTTAGTTTGTACGCATTACAGCAGTGATTTGTTTCTATTTCTTTGTCCTATATCCTGCTGCTGCTGCCTTGCTTTATCTGCC